GATAAGGAACAGACAAACTTCTGGGACCTTACCCTATTATTTACCAAAAGCATGATTTGAGTTTTCTGTTAAGAAAGACAAGGGTTTAAAAGTGGTTTTTGTAAAAACAAAACAACCCAAAGAAACAAAACTGGGACTCTTTACTTGGGACTACAAATGTCTTCTAGGTAATTGTAAGTAGAAAAAAACTTGAACTTTATGCTGTAAAACTTCAGTCAAATCTTTTCAGCTCTGTATTTAGACATATTAGTCATTCAAGGAATACCTTGTGCATTAGCCCTAAATCTTGTCACTCTTCAAAACAGAGAACATCTACACCTGGAAATCTCCATTGTCTTAAAGCTATGGTTGCTTGGGATTCCAGCAAAGCCACACATGACAGAAATGTGTCTCTCAAGTAATAGGACAACTCCACGGGAACACAATTGCCCCTCCAGTCATAAGGATTCAACTTGAGCTAGGAAATCAGGACTGAGAAAAGACTCAACCAGATACAAGCTTGATACAAGCACCCTACAAAACTGGTTCCTGGGCTCCTGTGATGGGCCAGTCTGATCATTTTCATCAAGTTGGAGTCCTTTTCTTATTTTCTTTCACTCTCCTTTGTCAAATATTTAGTCAGCTTTTCAGGTTAAAATTCCTTGTCATTTTCCTTACTTTCCAATTAAAGCTTTTTCCCTGTAAATTCATGATTGAGTTTTAATTTCCATTATCACTGAAAGCAAAGACACGCTATCTGGTGACAGCCTCAATGTGTCTACCTTGGCTCAGCTCAGGATCCTGCTCCCTCTTACAGAGAGAGACAACCACAGTGGCCCCTGGCTTAATCTCATCTTCCCTCTGCCTGCCTCCTTCCTCTATCTCCATCTTCTTCCTCTTTCCTTCCTCTTTCTGTGTCACTCCTTCCCTTTCATTTTAAAAGTTTATTCAAGGTGAAAAGCCTTTATTCAAAATTCCAAGCAAGTTAAAAAGAGCAAAAGGGCTGGCCGGGTGTGGTGATGCATGCCTGTAATCCCAGCACTTTGGAGGCTAGGCTGGAGGATTACTGTGAGGTCAAGGTCAGTCTGAACTACATAGCAAAACTCTTTTGAAAAGACAAAAAAACAAAACAAAAGAAAACAAAAAAAAGTTCAACCTTTACACCTCATCTCTTTTTTTCTGCCAGCTGGACCCTAGTGGTCAGATGTCCCTAGCATACCCTTAGCAGAGTTCATTCTCTCCTCCCTAGACCAGCTCCTCAAGAGCTCTCTTGTCTCCATGATCTGTACCCAGACCCTCACTGGCTGCTTACAGTGACTTCAGGCACAAGAAGGACATGATTACCATACTCGAAATGTCTGCTGTGCATTTTCTTATTAGTTCTGTCAGCCAAAGTTTACTAAGTGTCTAAGACCACACATATCGGCAATGGGGAAGGATACAGCGCTGAACTAGACTAGATTTCCCAGTGCTTGGTCTTACCTAGGGTTTCAAAGACTCCTCCCCTGCCACAGTGGTGGAAAATATTGAGATCTCTATGCCAGAGTACAACCAGCCTCTCCATTTCCCCTTGCATAGCACCTCTATGCCTACCTACCCTTTCCTCCGAACTTTTCTCGCACATCCCCTCTGAGCTATTGCCCTGCTGTTCCCCCTGTGGGAAAACATTCTTCACCTAGCTTCTCTGCCGATCATTTTCCTACTCATTTCAAATATCATCTCCTCCATTAAGCTTTTTGGGTGGGTCCTCTGTAGGGGTCCAGCAGCAGAGCTCTATAATAAGAACTTTAGAGTCAGACTTGGGTTTTAGTCCTGCTCAATCAAATACTACTAATGAGGGGACCAAGTTATGTAATTTCTCTGAACCCTATTTTTTGTATTTGTAAGACAGGATAATGATATCTATCACTTATAATTGCTAAAAGACAGGAATATGCAAGCAAAGCTTGCAGCATAATGGTTGCTAAGTATTATTGGTCTCCTTTGACGCTTTATGATGGAGCTATCAAAAACTCAGTTGTACTATTCTAGGGAAACCATGATCTTGCACTAAGACAGATCCTATAGTAACTTTTTGTTTTCTATATTCACACATGGTACATGTCTCTTTTAATGTTTTATTGAAGTATAACTGACATGGCAAAATATGCATATCTAAAGAGTATAATTTGATAAGTTTTGATTGATATCTGGTAAAACATAATTATAATCAAGGAATAATTCATATATGTTACCTACCCATCCCCCAAAGTTTCTGCACACCCTTCTACAACCCTTCCTTCCTCCCCACAACTCTTATGCCCAGACAGTCACTGATCTGCTTTCTATCACTATAGCTTTGTGCATTTTCTACAATTTTATATAACTGGCATCATAAACTATGTTCTCTTTCTGTGAATGGTGCTGGGGATTGAACGTAGGGTCTCATGCACATAGGCAAGCTGTCTACCACTGAGTTACATTTCCAGTCCTACATATGTCATTTTTTTGGCTTCTTTCACTCAACATAATTATTTTGCAATTTATTCATGTTGTTATGTATACCAACAGTCCATAGTCCATTCTTTTTTATTGCTGAGTAGTTTTTGAATGGATATACTACAATTTGTTTATTTAGTTGGGTTGTTTCCAGTTTTCAATTATTACAAAGGAATATGATGTGAGTGCTCCTGTAGGTCCCTTTGTAATTTCACTTCTGTGGGGTAAACGCTTAGAAAGGGAAAGCCTGTCTACTGATTTTTAAAAAAAATCATCAGACTTTTCCAAATCATTTTACATTTTTGTCAGCAGCAGTGGATTCTACATAAAACAAAAGTTACATATCAACTTTCTAATACACAAAGAAATTATTCTTGTCCTTTAAACTCTAAAAGGAAATGCTTGTTGAGAGCCTGAGGCAAGAGGGTTGTAAGTTTGAGGTCAATTTGGAAAAGGCAGTGAGACTCCATTTCAAAAACAGACAAACAAAACTCTAAAAGGAATTAGATGAATTAGCATTTTCCCATTTATAAACAAGGAACCTGAAGAATGAATGCTAAGCTTACAACTGGTAAGTGGTAGACTTGAGCCCAGACATCTCATACTGAAGCCTTTTTTTCTCTAGTATGATGTCACTCATCACATTTTGAAATTTGAGAAGCCCCAAATACAACTCTAGATAATTACTGTTAAAAAAGAATTTTAATATATAATTCATGGCTAAATTATATAACAATATAACAAGTAAGATAACTGCTGATTTCTTGCCAATTATGGAAAATTGAGAAGCCCTCTTCAGGTTTGGGAATCCCTACTAGGGTTACAGCAATACCAAAAAACCCAAGCAAGACACAGATTCCAAGGACAATAGTATGGACATGGCTGCTGCAATACACCACTCATTGAAAAAAAGTCGAGATTCTCAAATTTTTGTGTCTAACATGCCAACCTGTCATCTCTACCTGCCAAAACCTTACCACTTTCCCTGTAACAAGGTCTTATGGGAATAACTAACATAGTTTGGATACAGAATTGGGTCCAAATCCTGATTCTTGTTTCCTAGCTATGAATCAACAGTGGTGGGCAGGTCATTTTTCTTTTTCTAACGCTAGTTCCTTATTTGTGAGATCAGTGTGAACTATCTCACAGTATTAAGATAGGGAATACCAACCAAGCATCTCTACCACTCACATGCTGAGCTGGACAAGAATATCAAGCCTTCTAAGTTTTCCTTTTCTTGTTTTGAAAGTGGAAGGTAACAATATCTCCCTTGCAAAGTTGATGAAGGATTAGAGACAGCATCCCACATACACTTCTACTTTCCCTAGGAACCTATCTCCCAACCCTAGCCAGACCACAGGTCTCTCTGTCCTTTGGACGCAAAATGCCCTAGGATTCCAGAAAATTGTAAATATGGAGAATAGGTTTCACCAAAATCTTGCTCATCATGTCATTTCCATCTCCACAATGCCATGCTGGGAGTACTTCACATCCCTAATGAGCATTTGTTTGGTATTCTCACTTTCACCTCACTCAGTTTCAATGTTTCCAGCTATAAAATAGATTCCATCTTTTAATCCAGGGTTTTTGAAAGAGTGTCTGTCTCTGTGTCCTCTACTTCTGTCTACTACAGTGCTGATCACAATGAATTGTTACATGTGTTATGTGAACTTGTCCAACTGTATTGAGTGAGACTTTGGAGGCCAAGAATTATGACCAGGGTCAAGTTCAGGGCTTGGTACTTGAAGAATAAGTAACATTTGTTGAATTGTTCCATTACAATGAATTGTATACATAATTCTAATGATTCCTAAATTGTGAACTTCTTGAAGGAAGACTGCACATAATAGTTGAATCTCTGTATTTTCAAGTTCTGCAATTCTGGATTCAACATGAATGGAGATCGATTATAAGATCCTCTCAGATGTGCTCATGCTCAAGTTCCTTGTCTAAAATGACAAGAATCCTATATATTTTAACCTTCCCAAGATTATTTATAATACTTAAATGAGTATAAAGGTTATGTAAATAGAATAAACACAAGAATAAAAAGTCTGTTCATGTTTAGGACAAAAGCTATTTTCCCCCAAATATATTCCAACTGTGAAAGCTCCAACAGGGAAGGGAATCCATGTGAAGTCCTAGAACCAGTGCCCCTCGGAGAATTCAGCGATGACTGTATGCTGAAGATGGAGTAGATATAGTCCATCCTCCTGTCTCCACGTGTTGGCACAGGGCTTACCGCTCTCTAACGTCATGTTTTTATTTGTTTGTGATAGTAAACTCCCAGCTGGACTATAAACTCTACCAGAGCAAGGATCTTGACATTTTATTATAAATCCCACATCTAAAGCTGGCAGAAGTAAACACACACACCCCTATACACGGAGTGAATCTCTTCTGCTTATTAGATTTGCGTCCTTCAGCAAATTACTTGAGCAAGTTTCTGAAAATGCCTGGAGCAAGATCGGTCCAAGAGGCAGACAGCCTTCTTTTCTCTGTCCCGGATATTCAAAACACAGTAAATCAAATGAGACCCTTACCTCCTATTTACATATTCCCCGATAAATTTGCTCCCTGTGTACTCCATGGTGATCGCTTCTGGTTTCCAACCCTTGGCTCCAAGAGTTTCAATGTATACTGCCTCACTATGACAACCAGGAAAGGGAGGCGGGGCCAAGACAAAGCCCCACCCCTTGGAGTAGCACAACTTGTTGATATTGCGCATGCTTCATCGCTCGCGGTTGGGCAGGGCAGTGCGCCTGCGTGCCGCCGACGGCGCATGCGCAGGTGCTGTGCGTGGCTCTGCGGCTGAAAGGGGAGTTCAAGGAGATCCAGGAGTACGGCTAAGGGCTCCTCGCCGGGGTCCGGACTGCCGCCATCATGCCGGGGATAGTGGAATTGCCCACTCTGGAAGAGCTGAAAGTGGATGAGGTGAGGCTAGTTGGGAGGACAGACAAGAGGGGCAAAAAGGCTGCAGCTTCCCAAGCGTGGGCCTACTACTGGTTCGTCTCTGTGGACCCTGGGCTCCGGACCCCGCCCCTCACCCCCACCCAACACTTGCGTTGACCGGGAAAGGCCCCTGCACAGCTCGGGGAATCATACCCTTACCCCAACCTCCCGCCACAGCGCCTCCCGCTGTAGCTCTAGATTCCTCCCACCCCCACAGTGATCTGCTCCTTCCTTGAATAATGGTACTTTAAAATTAAGCATCAACCATGGCCACTTCATGTCTGTCAAACCTCCCTGTGAAGTGAGTGCACGGCCCCAGATGTTCACACTCGAAGGAGCGCGACAATCACCTTACAGCAGTATCCTCTGTGCAGAACTCATTACGGCGGAACTGGAGGAGCAAGTGAGCTGACATCTGCCGTGTGGTGTTTGGTAACAGGACACATTTGAAACATTCGTTTGTTAAAGAGATATTGGGATAATTACCACGCTCACGTGCATTGGGAAATAAGAGATGAAGTCCCTGCTGTTACAGAGTTTACACTCTTAATAGCGAGAGAGGTACATCAAGAGGCAGTTGCAGTACAGCATAGTTAGTGCTGAGAAGTGAAGTAATAACAGTGTACTACTAATTACAGCTGACGCAGTCAAGCCAGTGCTTTGAACTTTGAGCACATAAATTTATTAAATTCATCCCGGCAGCACTATAAGTAGGATATAATTAGTCTCTGTATTATAGATCTGAAATGCGCCCTGAAAGTAGAAGCGATTTGCCTGACACCACATACCTGGGATGTGGTAGAGTTGGAGCACGAACCCAGATCTGGATTTGAAATGTGTGCTTTTCAGCTAACAAACTATGGGCAATAACTCAATAAAAGAGACGGCTTCGCAGGACCTTAATGTTAGGGAGCTAGGTTGTTTGATGTGACTCTGTTAATGGGAAGTGGCAGGTGCTGATCCTAGAGAGGTAAGCTAGTCTGAGGTAGCACTTGGTAAATTCACAAGGCCATACCAGTTTGTGTTTGATTCTGTAAGTGAGTTGGTAAAAAGAGATGGAAGATTTTAAGGTAGAAGACTGACATGACAGGACAGGATAGTAGGTATTAAAGGAGAAGGGAGAGCAGGAATAAAAAATGTACCTGCTAGGCACTATGTTGATTTACCTGCATTTCTTCATTTAGTCTTAAATGCCTGTAAGGGTGGCAGCTGTTATTTTCCTCAGATGAGGAAATGATTAGTAGTGTTCAGGTACTTTATGAGAAGTCACATTTTCTTAGAGGTTCCAGGAGGGTTGCTGGCCATGGAGCCAGTCTTTGATTTCTTGCCCAACCATGAAGCTAGGTTAAACTTGGGTTACTGTGTACTTTTAATTTGGTTCAGCTAACATCTGAGGTTCTGTTTTATACAAGATTTCTCTATCTGGAATACATTTACCCTTAAGGTTCACACAGTTACAACTGAGATAATTATTTAAAAAGCTACAATATAAGACAGAATACAGTGAAATACTATGTTTTTTTGTTGTTGTTTTGTTTTGTCTTTTTCATTTATATCGGTACCAGGGATCGAACTCAAGACTGCACACTTGCAAGGCAGGCGCTTATGCCACTGTGAAATACTATGTAAGAGGAGAAGACATGGTTTAAGAAAAGAGAAGTATTTATTGTTAAATCTAGTTTGTAGGCCTGACTATGTAGTCACTTTGATTAGTTGCGTTTAGCATTTGTGGACTGGGGTGTGAGGTGTTTCAAGCTGTACAATTCTCTGAGGCCATTAAAGGAATAGAAAAAACACTTGTTGGGCACAATGGAAAACATGGCATTTTTTTGGGCAGACATGGAAGAAGTCTAGGATATGAGCAAAGCTAAGGAGATGGGAGGATGCAGGGGACTCATTCTGGAAACAGTGAACTCAGTATTTTGCGAGAACAGCAAATAGTCCTTTTGAAGAGTTGTGGATGCAAAGTCTGGGAAGATAGTTTAGACCCAGAAGCCTTTGAATGCTTACTAGAAGGTTTGGGTTTTATTCTGCCATGAAGGCAAAATCCTTTTAAGGATTGGTAGCTAATTTGTTTTAATAGCAAAGTAAGAACTGTTACGATGATCACTTTAGGAGCGTTAAGAAGAATGGATTGAAGATAGAAAAGATAAAGGATTACCAGTCTTAGTGGCTGTTAAAATTGAAAAAGATGTTAATGAACCTAATTTAACTGATGTCTGTGCTTACAGAGAAGAAAGAACGAGTGCAGTACATGTATCTGGAATTGATCTGAGTTAGCAGTGGATTAATAACAAAGGTAGGAAAGGGTGAGAGGATTGTTGTTGGATTTGCCACATAGTAATAGCACTTGGGAAGTCAAAAGAAGCAGTGGGTGTGGGGAGCACATTACACCCTTGCTGGACCTCACTGGCTAAGCATTACGACAGTCTCATGGAAAAAGCATTCAGAAGCCTCAGACTACAAAATCTTTGAACACATTCACAATTTTGAGTAAAATAACTAGCTAATATTGATGATAACATTGAAAAATATGAAAAATACTTTCTGTGTGTCAGGCACTGTTCTTATATTCTTTTTTTTTTTTCCTCATCCAAAGATTTAATGTTCTTATATTCTTGTATGTCCTATTTGATCTTTGTAATGATTCTATAAAATAAGTAGTATCATGCTCCATTTTTCATAAATTAAAGAAAATATATGGCCTGGTATAAAGTAAGCACTATAAAAGAAGTACCCCTAACAGTTTAAGGAAACTTGGCCTATCAGATTGATAGGCCGTAGATGGGGACTTTTTCTGCTTCCTTTGCCACACCTGCACACTGTATAATCCCTGCCATGCAGGGCGTCTGTGAGGGTAGAGAGAAGGGTGCTGAAACCCTGTGTTCCTGTGACAAAGGGAACTGAATGCATTTGAGAGGGTAATCACGGTAAGCAGCTGTGAAGGGATGCTGTAGCTGTTGGAATTCATAGCTTAGTGAAGGAGCAGGTGAGGGGATGTGTTGACATCTCAAGTTCTTCCCTTGTCCCAGTGATGCTGATGTCCTGAGGAGGGGCCTGACTGGACTGGAGGTCACAGTCTCTGGTTCCAGTTCTGAGATTGCTGCTGTCCTGCTTATCATCCTAGGCACATCCCTGTTGTTCATCAGTTAGGAAATAGACTCAGGGAACAGCCCTCAGGCTTAATTTCCCAGACAGGAATGATGTTTTACATACTGAATGACCCAGATGTACCTTCATTTTTTTTTTTTTTTCCAGATGTACCTTCATTTTGATAAGATTTCCACATCTGTAGAGAAGTAAATAATGCTGAAGGCTTTTTTTGTGCATGACTGCCATGGGCATTTGAGAAATTAAAGCAGTCGTTTAGGATATTTCAGAGCATTTGACAAGGAAACAAATATAGTTAATTTTTAAAATGTGTTGAGCTTTAAAAAAAAGCTTGAGTGTTTGTATTTATCTCGCATCTGTTCATAGGTAATAATAAGGAAACGGGCCAGGGATTTAGCTTAGCTGCATAAGCACCTGCCTGGCAAGTGTGAGATCGTGAGTTCAATCTCCAGTGCCAAAAAAAAAAAGGAAATATAGTCCACTTAGTTAACCTGGATAAACTTTTTAAAAATTTACTACAAGTATTTACAAATTATTTCATATAAATTTATTAAAATCGTCATGGCAGTTTTCACTTACATCATTACCCTTGTTTGAATAATTATGACAATTGTCATATTAGCCGGTATAATCATAAGCATATTCTCTTCCTGTACCATGTAGACATACTACTTTTCCTATTTACCTTATTAGTAATGTAACTGTAAAATACATTAAAATTATAGACTTTTCTACATTAAGTCCTTAATTTTGCTAATTAAATCCAGTAGTATATTAAATATAACACATATTAACTAGGTTTTATTACAGAAATGTGAATCCATTTTAGAAAATCTGTTCGTATTCTTTGTTACATTTATAGGTTTTATAAAAAGCTTGAAAATTTTAGTGAATAACAGAATGTTAGAGAATAGCAGCAACAGTAAAGCAAAACCAATTAGCTTTTGAAAGAAATTCCTTTAAGGAGTATCTGAACAGCTTTATCTTGGGTATCAATGGTAAATTTACCAAACTGCTTTAAAGTTTAAAGGGGAGAAAGTTGCCTACTACTGTTGCTGTAGATGCTTTTGTTTTGTTGAGACAGGGTCTCACAAAGTAGTTCAAGCTGACCTTGAACTCACTGTGGAACCTAGGCTGGCCTGGAATCCATGGTGATACTCCTGCCTCAGCCTCCTGAATGCCAGAATTGCAGGCCTGTATGCCTGACCCTGCTGTTGTTCATGTGTATTGTCCTGGTGGGTTTGGTCAGAGAAGTAAGATAAGAGGAGAGAGTAAGAAAGAAAAAAGATACAAATATGAAAAGGAAAGAAACATTGTTTTTAGTTGTAAATGCTAATTGTTTTCTAATAATCCTCTGAAGTTTTATATCAGAATTAACAAGAGTTCAGTAAAATGGCTGGAGAGTGCACAATGCATAGTCAAGCAATAAACAATTTGAAATTTGGGCAGAAAACTCCATTAGAACTAAAAATATTTTAGTACAAAAGTACTCAAATATTCTGGAATAAACAAGAAATGTGCAAGTCCCTATATGAAAGAAACTATAATTTTAACCGAAGAATGAGAGTAACTTGACTACAGATAAGTGAAAGGAACTACTGTGTTCTAGATGAGAAGACTTAATTAATACTTTCCTACCTCATTTGTAACTGTTGTAT